GCGTCTAGCAGGTTTGCCAGCGCGTTGGCGGTGGAGGGTAGCGCGAGAGACTTTAAACGTTACTGCAGCGCGCCTTTCAGTCTGAATTTGATTCGCATTAAGAGCTGAGATTGCAAGGTGTATATCAGTCTCACAAGAAGCGTGTTGGGCTATGTTTGGTGGAGCCATAGTCGATTTATAGTTGTAGGGTATAGAAATTTGGTGGGGTGGCTCACTCGCTTCGATGGCTCACTCGCTTAGTATTTACGTTAGGCGTCCTGGATAAGCCATGTGCGTTGGTTGGGTCAGTCTTGGACAACGCGAATTCTAAGAAACTATGCAAGTTCTCCTATCTTCTTAAGGTTGTATACGTTAGTAAGACGTTATTTAAAGCGTTGGTGGAGGGAGGTATTAGAATTGTGAAAAGCTATCATGATATCGTCAACAAATACAAATAGAATAAGCCATTGGTTAGTGTACAGGCATAGGAATCCTTCAACTAGCTTAAGACCAAGCTTAATAAGTTGTGTTTAGTATTTGTTAAACTAAAGTAATAGAGACTCCTTAAGTCCATAAAGGGCTTGGAGAACCAGAAGGAGCTCACCTAGTCCTGATTCAATCTCGTCTACACCTTCTGGTGTATAGGCGTAGAGCTTTTGGTTCATCCTTGCGTTGAGAAATGCCACTGGGACGTTATATTAATAGAGCTCAAGGTCAAAGTGGTTGGCAATAGAGATAAGAGCGCGGAAGTTACGAACTGCAAGCGTAGCTGCGTACGTATCGTCAAGCAGAGACTGTAAATCCCCACGAACAACTAATTAGGCTTTAAAACAAGTAATATACCCATCTTTATTAGTTTTGTAGGCAAATACCCACATAAGAGGAAGAACCTTATTGTCTGCAGTCTCCTAAGTTTTATTTGTACATTAGAAACACCCCTTTAATTAGATATTCCTCTATTTAATAGACATGTCTGCTTTAAACTTGTTCTTGAACATGTAGTTCTGCAGTTCTTTTACATCCCTAGGTGCGGCTAGAACCTAGTTAATGTGATATTAAGTACTCGCATTAGGTTGCTGTTTAAGTACCTAGGCTGTGAATGCACTGAAGTAATAAGCTCTTGATTCTTCACTAAGGTTGGCTGCAAATGAAGCAATTGTGAAGAAAGCGCCTGGTGGTCGCCTTGTTTGTCTGCCTTGAACGATGGCGGACTTATCAATAGAGCTGCTGATATTATGTGGAGCCGTTTTGCTGTATCGTTGATAGCCTTCTGGTGGAGCTTCATCACGGCTTTGAGCAGGAAGGCTCATTGGTCCTGCTAAGCCTCTCGATCCTTGTGGGCGTCCTGTTCCGCCTCGTCCAGATTAATTAGACGATGATCATTGTATTAGTGTTGAGGATGATTTGTGAGGTAATTAAGATAATAAGTTGTTGTTATTAGTAACGTCTTGTTCAACTAATTGCTAAATATTAGGATAAAGGATGTTGCCTTGGTTTGTTAGAGTTATGAATTCCTTATTATTAGATTGCTGTGGGGTAATATTGTCAGACAATAGGACGATGTGCGCTTTGTTGTCGTTGTTGGCCAAAGCAGATGGTGATGGTGTAAGTAGCTGGTTATTTGCTGTACTAAAGGAATCTTCCTGAGCAAACTGTAGAGGGGTTTAGAGAGATTGTACACCCCCTAGCTGCGTAGCGTTTGGTGAAACCAAAGGGTTTGTAGCTGAATCTAGATGTGATTAGTGTTATTGTTAGACTAGTTGTAGTTCTTCAATTGTGTAGTCCTCATCTAAATGTGTTAGTAAAGAGATTGTTGTGACAATCTCCTGCAAGTCCTCCTTTGTCACATAACCTTCATAGCTATCAAAGAACTAAGTTAGTTCAAAGACAACGTTGCGGGTGACAAGGATCTCGTCAGTGGCTGGTAGCCAGATGCGAAATATGTTGGTGCCTACGTAGCCAACGAGGTGTCCGATGAGAGCTCTAGATTCGAGCTTGTCTGCATTTTTGAGCTCTGTATTGAGAGCGTAAGCTCGACAGCCGATGGGTTGCATGTGAGAGACAAGAGGTGAGCGACCGTATACTGCTTCATATGGTGTCTTCCAACCAAGAGCTTCTGTTAGTGTTTGATTGAGGATGTATGCAGCGGTCTAGTATAGTTCTCTAGCAAGGTGTTTAGGTAGGTTGGCATAAATTCTCATTGCTCGAGCACGTATTGTAAGTACTCCTCTAGCTTGTTCAGGCAAGCCAGCAGGCTCTTTTGTGTGCTTAGGTGCCTTCTCATAGATAAGACCTAGTGTGTTAACAAGTTCTAAGAAGTCATTGCCGAAACCTCATTCTCCATCCATCCTGATATAGATAGGTACTCCTTTGTAGATGCGCTGAATGCGAGCAATAAGGCCTTTAAGCCATCACATGAGCGTTAATTAAGACTTGTTTGTAGTGGCTTTAACTTTATGCCACTTAGTCTTAGAGTTAACTGCATGTAGAGCGTAACAGAGCGTACTAAAATGCTAACTGTTTATAGGAATAATGTAGATAATATCAATTCCTATCTGTTTAAATAGCTTTGTTGCAGGAGCGTCTTGTGGACGTTAGGAGATAACGTACTCTATCACCGAGCCGGTCATATCACCGAACCGGTCACTTAAAATCCCACCAAAAAACACAGAAACCATACCCCTGCATCTCAATAACTACTTAATAGAATCTTCTAAAAACTTCAGAATAGAGCTGCATCTATACTAATAAAACTATTTAAAAGTCTTAGACTAATAACTAGTATAGATGTTGAGATAGCCTGCAGCTACCCCTGTATTTCAGTATCTTCTAAACAACATCTGCAATATAGGGCTAAGCACTCTAAGACTTTTAAACAGTCTTATTAATATAGATGCAGCTCTATTCTGAAGTTTTTAGAAGATTCCATTAAGTAGTTATTGAGATGCAGGGGTATGGTTTCTGTGTTTTTTGGTGGGATTTTTAGTGACCGGTTCGGTGATATGACCGGCTCGGTGATAGAGTACGTTAATGCGTGTGAGTTTTGATTGCTTACAAGAATCACAGAAGCAATGACCTTCTCCCTGTAGCTAAACTCCGCGTGTAGCTGATTCAAGCTTGTCAAGAGCTTGACAGCCAGGATAGGCCTATACCTGATGGGCTAGCTTCCAATTGAGTAACAATGGAGGCTTAGGTACTCGTGATGGACGGACTTGGGTTCTAAACGTACTGAGTTCAGACTGAAGCGACTGTAGGCTGGGTTGGCGGCTTGGGTCAATGTCAACAAGCCAGTGGCCTTTGTAGTATTGAAGCCGAGCAAGCTCATTGCCACCCTTCTTGTATAGTATGTCTTGGCCTGAATTAAAATGAATATCCATACTTCAGCAGCGTCCAAGACCTATAAGGCTTGTAAGAAATCCTGGAGCATATGCAACGTTGGTAAGTCGGAGATTGCGCTGGCCAGTAGGTGTTTTCACTGCCACATGAAACTCTCCCCAGGCTTTGACTAGAACCTGTGAGTTACCAGCACTAATGAAGAAGCCTTGACCATCCCTCTTGGGTACCCAACTAACCCATTAGTCGCTGTTTATAACGTGTGTATTAGATCCTAGATCAAGGATCATCCAGTTGATAAGTAAGACATTGGAATTGTCGACGTCTTGGGCAACAGCCATGATAGTAAGGTCTGTTGGAAGCGCAGTGTCATTGTCAATTGCAATAGGAGCGTTAGGCTCGACTATATCGACTGTAGGTGTAGGAGCTTCTTGCTCAACTACTTGATGAACGATGGGAGCGTCGGGCTCGACCATGCGATGGAATGTGGGAGCGTCGGGCTCGACCATGTGTTCGCTAGGATTGACGTCGATATATTGGATAGCGGTAATAACGTATGACTGAGCGTCGGCGGGCATAGTGTTGTTGTCAACATCTATACTCTCATTATTGTTAGAGTTCTTGTACTCCTTAAATCGCTTAAGGGACTGTTAAATTTGCTTCTTAACACTATCCTTTTTACGTCCTTCTACAACGCGTTTTTGTATTACCTCATCTCCTTAGAAGGTAGATAGTTGAGACTTTGCCTCTTTGTTAATATAGAAGCAATCACTATACCAGTGTTTCTCACCACAAAGGCATGTGGGAGTTGGGCGTTGTCCATTCGTTCGACCACCTTGTCCGCGGCCACAACCGCGTCCACCACGTCCACCACCTCAATTGCTGTTGGCGGAATTGGAGTTATTTGCGTCTTTGTTGACTGGCTTGGCTACTTTGAGCTCAGTAGCAAAGGAACCAAGGTAGTTCTTGTATCTGGAGTCGCTAGCTTGAAGATACAATTGAGCGTTGTTAACATATTCTTAGAGTGACCAAATGGTAGTGTCTAAGCGTTGTATCTCCTTTACAAAGTCTGTAAGTAGTCCTTAATGGTACTTAGGGTCAATCTTCTTCAAAGCCCTAATGAACTCCTCCTAGGGATTCTCGTCCATGCAGCATGGAACACCCATCTTGATACCCTAATTTGTAACGTCGATCCACTCACTGAACCAGCTTTCAAGAAGCTTAGCTGAACGTGGACCATTCTTGAGCGCCTCAAAACGATGTACAAGCGCTCTCTTGCGGAACTTCTCAGTTAGGGCAAGAGCAGCCTTGAGAGCAATAAGTTAATTATATAGCGAATCTAAATTGTTGATAAGGTAGTGATGACGCTTGTTGATGGTATAACGTACCCCACGGGCGAACGACTCAACGGGCGAGCGACTCACTTTTGCCAAGCCCCCACCAAACCACCCTTCCTACACCAATGCCTTCTCAACAACACCACTTAGACGCGTCAAAAGAACGTCAGATACAGCTTGCGCTCCAGGCTCTCAAACAAGACGCAAATCTCTCTGAGCGGCGCGCTGCAGCTATCTACAAGGTTCCTTAAGCTACACTAAACAAACGACGCGCTGGACGACCTTCACGCGCTAATTCTGCACCTAACTCACAGAACCTGGACAAGAATGAGGAGCAGGTGATTGTTGATCACATCCTTTAGCTAGCTGCGCGAGGATTTCCCCCTCGGCTTGCAGCTGTGGCTGATATGGCCAATTCTTTGCGCGCTGAGCGCAATCTAGGCTATGTTGGCGTAAACTAGCCTAGTACATTTGTTAAGCGTCAACTAGAGCTTAAAGTGAGGTTTAATTGCAAGTACAACTACAAGCGAGCCCTCTGTGAGGATCTGGAGATCATACAGGGCTGGTTCCAGCTTGTAGAGAATACTAAAGCCAAGTATGGCATCCTGGATAAAGACACGTACAACTTTGACGAGACAGGCTTTATGATAGGCCAGATATCTATATAAGCAGTTGTTACAGGCTCAGAGCGTTGTGGACGGCCAAAGTCTATTCAACAGGGCAACTAGGAGTGGACAACAGTTATCTAGGGCATTAATAGGGCAGGCTAGGCTATACCACCCTTTATTATCTTTAAGGCGCGACATTACCTCTCTGCCTAGTACAAAGAGGAGGGTCTGCCCTAAGACTAGGTTATTGCAGTCTCTAAGAATAGCTAGACTACTAACAAGCTTAGTCTAGAGTGGTTGAAGCACTTTAACACGCATACAAAGGAGCGTACTGTTAGGACCTACTGTCTGCTAGTTATTAATAGTTATAAGAGCTATAACTCGCTTAAATTCTAGCAATACTATAGGAATAACAAGATTATTACTTTATATATGCCTCCACACTTATCGCACCTTCTACAGCCGCTTGATGTAGGCTGTTTTGCCCCTTTGAAGCAGGCGTATAGGCGCTAAGCTAACAACCTCATGCGCAGCTAGATTAACCACATTACAAAGACTAAGTTCCTGCCATGCTTTATACGCGCCTACAACGCTGCAATTACTACTAGCAATATCTAGGGAGGGTTCTAAGGCGCTAGACTAGTCCTGTTTAACCTAGAACAGGTTATAAGCAGCCTTGATGTGAAGCTGCGCACTCTATTACTACAACTCCCTGTTAACAAAGAGCCCTAGCAGTTGTAAACCCTAAGCAATACCCTAGAATTTAGGTTGCAATCTACTCTAATTTAAGACAAGTTCTAGAAATACTAGGGTAGCTTACTAAATTCTACAACAAGCGCGCTTAAGCATTACATCAAGGGCGCAGCAATAGTTACGCACAAGCTTGTGCTTGTAGAGAAACAGATTGCTGAGCTTAAAACAGCTAACAAGGCCGCTGCACGCTGGAAATTGCACAAGAGAAAGCAAGTCTAGGCAGAAGGGACCCTAATAGTTAAGGATAGCCTGCAATTAACAACTCTAAAGGAGTTTAGGGCGCGTAGTGATGGGAAGAAGGTAAAGAAGTAAGTGCGCGCTGATAGGGCTGAGCCGACCTAAAGGCGCTGTAGATGGTGCAACAGGACTGGACATAACGCGCGAACGTGCAAGAATAATGAAGAAGTAGTTTCTGAGTAATATTACAGGTTGTTCTACCCTGCACAGCGCCGAAGTGGGCTGATAGAGGCCATAATGGGGTGAGGTTTGGTGTGGGCTTGGCAAAAGTGAGTCGCTCGCCCGTTGAGTCGTTCGCCCGTGGGGTACGTTAGTTAATTTCAGACAATAGGGTAGCTAAGGCTTTAGTAATCTTCTCCTTGTTGAGTTCTGATCGTTCCTATTGGTCGTAATCCCATCAATAATTGGAGGCTTGGCCAGCATCAAGGTCAGCCAACAACGTTGCGCCAGTTTTGTATTGGGTACATGCTGGCAGAGGAGTGTGGACGACTTTGAGCAGATCTGATCTATCCTTCTTAGGGTCAACATAGTCCTTAATACCAAGCTTCTTGGCCGTAAGCATGCAGATCTTAAGCCAAAGGATCCAGTCGTCGACAGAGGTGAGTATCACCTGTTGTTGCCTAATTGCGACTGTGTCAATATTGTAGAGAGAGGCCATAGTAAGGTAGAGTTAGGTAGATTGAGATAATATTGAATGTGAGTGAACCTAGTAGGCAGCCGGGCTCATAACTATCACGGTTTAAGTAATAGGCTATTAGGCAGTAGAATTTGGTAGGAACACTGAAGTTGAATTGAAGTGAGTCTACGTGTTGATATACCGGAATGATCGGATGTCAGCAGGGTTATGGTGAAACTCTGTTCACATAGGACCGAGTACTTATCGGACCGAGCAAGCTGTACGTAGACTGCGACACTCAGTCTTGTTAATTATGCCATGAGGCCGAGATGCAGAGTCCGGCTAAGTTGCTGCAAAGTAATTGCAGCAGACACCTATGAATCGCAACAGATCTCCAAGCACCAGCTTTCGAGAGTGCCTTACCATGGCTTGCTACCTCAAAGTCTGTTGATGAAGGGTAGTGCGGCATCGCCAAGGCAGCACTATTTTGAGACAATGCTACCGCATCTGACATTGGACAAAGTCAACGATTCGACACGAATTTCGCAGACGTTCCCGCTTTTCAGATTGCAATACTGACGCCGCAATTCAATGTATTGCTCCATGGTAGTTGTCGGATCCTTGCATCAGGACGATTCGAGCATGGTGTGCGACAGCTCTTGACAGAGAGACACGCTGAGATGGGGAGCTTTGATCACATAGCCGATGCTGCATCCCATACCGGTAGCAAGCTACAGCTCGGGGTGACGCTAGTACTGCCGCCTTACCGTACACATGGCACGCTTACTTGCGCTGGCCGGTGAGCAGACTTTATTATATCCACTAGAAACCCCGAAGTGGCTCGATACTCGACCATTGCGTGTGTTCTTTGACCTTGCCATATAAGTTGTCCTACATCCCTCTGTACGATTCTCCGCACCGCATTCGACGACTTAAATTTTGACCTGCAACTCAGCCGCACGACTTGCACGACACTTGCATCTACAGCATTTCAGACACACCATTCCCCACACTTCAATATCCAAACTACTGTATACCAGCATCATCTACCCAAACAGACATCTTGAGAGCAAGAAGAGATGCCCAAGGCCGATATGTACACCATCATTCGCCCACGCTCGACTCGATCACGCCCACGATCGGTCCTCGTTTTCCTCCTCTTCGTTCTCTGCGTACCGATCTTCCTCTACCAGCTCGTACCTACTTTCACGCAGTCTACGGACACTCTCATCGAAAAGGTCATCGCTCATTTCCGTGAGCAGCCCTGTACAACAGACATGGGAGATGCACACTGCTGCGCTCTCTATATGAAGGCAACTCCATGCGTGGAAGAATGCAGGAAGCAACATGTCGACCGGGAAAC